TGGGTTCGTGAGGTGCGAACCCAGGCTCCTGGGTGCGAACCCACGAGCTGGGTTCGCACACCCAGGAGCCTGGTTTCCTCGCGAACCCAGCTCGTGGGTTTGCGAGGTGTAAACCCATCGCCTAGATGTAAAAAGAGAAAAAGAAAAAAAAGAAAAGGCTGGACGAAGGGGAGGATGGGGAAGAAAGAAGAGGGTAAATTAGTAATTAAAAGAAAAAATTTTACCATGTTATCAATCTTTGAGGGCAAATCAGTAATTAAAAGTAAAAAATTTAGCATGTCATCAATTTTTCCCACGTGGATTTTCCACGTAATTTAATAAAAAAAACAAAATGAGTTTTTTCGTTAATTAACCTACCACATCAACCAAAATTTAACGGAAGGACTAAAAATGGGTCGGATTTGTGAACAGTAAGGACCAAAAAGGGGATTTTTTCGGTACAGGGACCAAAAAAGGGCTTTTTCGGTACAGGGACCAAAAAAGGGCTTTTTCGGTACAGGGACCAAAAAAGGGCTTTTTCCTATAGTAGAGGGACCAAAAAGGGTATTTAACCTAGATTTTTTAAGCTAGTTATGGAGCCAGTTCTAGAAGTCTATGCCGACTTTGCTGACAATTTTACAATTCAAAATTACACGTCCTACAGAGCATTAAATGACCTCCAACGGCTAGAAACGACTATTTTTTAGCAAGGGGCTATAAATATGGTTGGTAGTAGATCTGGAACAAGTTTGAAGAGCTTTGTGTTAAATATCTCTACCTACCAACTTATGCTTTAACTTGAGTATTTGATCTTTGAGTGATCTTTGCTTGTAATCTTGTTTTTGTTCTACTTGTGTGTTATCTTGAGGGTGTGATTATTCCTTCAAGAGTGATTTGTAGAGAGGATTCTTGGGGTTTATCATGTAAAGGGGTGAAATTTAAGAGAAACACCCTTCTTTTTGTAAAAAAATTACGCCACCATTGTTTTTCTTAGTGGAAAGTGTGGAGGAAATCCTTGGTGAGTAGAGTCAAAGTAGAGGATTAGGCTCTAAGTGGTTGGACCGAACTTCTATAAAATCATTGTACAAGCTCTTCTTCTTTACTCTCTTTTTTATGTTTGTTTTGTAGTTGCAAAGAGGTGAAAATCTTCCAACTCCAATTCAACCCTCCTCTTGAAGTGCATTGAGCCAACAAAGAAATTGTTTCTTTTTTTTTTTTTTTTTCTAAATCCAATTAAACATAAATGATTTAATCTAATGAGACTTAAATGAGTAATTAAAGTTGGTTAATAAATAATTAAAATTAATTGTATTGTAATTCAAAGATTAAGAAATAAAAGGTTATTTTTACCAAAAAAACTAATCTTTTTATATGAAATGCTAACGTGAACTCAAAAATATGTCCACATTATTTTTTTTTATAAAGTGGATTTTCCACATCATATAATTTTGTTAATTAACTACCACTTGTCAAAAAATTTAACGGAGGACCAAAAATAGGTCGGATTTCAATCTTTAAGGACTAAAAACGAGATTTTTTTAATATATGAACCAAAAATAGACTTTTTTCTTTAGTAGATGGACTAAAAAGAATATTTAACCTAAAAAAAGGTAGGACCCAAGCTTCCATTAGATATATTGATGGAAGCGTTAGGTTAGTAAGTAATTAAATAACATTTTTTTCCTTAATTAGTGTTTTTTTTTTTTTGTTTAATATGATCATTTCATGCTTTTTTCAGACCAAAAGATCATTTCATCTTACCTGCTGTTTTGCTTGTTAAGTTTGGAACTAATTGTCTCTTTAAGTTGATTATTTAACGTTAAACTTCCAACTTGGTCCCTTAACTACTATACAGATACTCAACTTGATCCTTAAAATTAAAAAATTCTTAATTTAATCCCTTAAATTTGAGATTTTAGTTTTTTTTTTTTCCTCCGTTAACTATTTGCTTGTAGATCATGGTAACTAACGAAATATGACTCTCTTTTTTTACATAAATGACCGGATAATTCCACGTGATAAAAAATGATGAGGTAGACTACCTTTTCAATACACGTAAGCCTTAATGATTGGTTAAATACAAAATTGTCATTATTATTTTATATGACACTTTTATACAAGTTTCGCATGTCATTAAATAAATAAATACATTTAATATTATAGTTTTAACTGAATAAAAAGAGTCAATTATTTTAGTAATACGTAAAGTTATAAAAAATGATATAAAAAATATTTTAAAATCATTTTCTATTATAATTAACTTAAATTTATTTAGTAATTAAATTAAAGTTTATCTAACTTATTTTTTAAGGGTCTCATTTAATTTTTTTTTATAT